ACCCCTGCTGAACGGTGCCTAAATGTGTAACGAAGTCCATGGACAACATGTGGAGTAAGGAAATGTAACGTAAGGCACATAAGGAAACGTATCAACATAAGGAAATGTATCAGAGTCTGACCCTAGCATGGTCTTTTCTGGCACAATCATCTGTAAAAGTGTTTGTTAGACTCAGTGGGCTGTGATTTTGAGCACAGTGTATTGAAAAATGATACACACTGACAGACAATATTATCCCTCAGGGGGGCTCCAATCCACCCCAGATGGAAACCCCAGACGGAGCTCCCTCCCTTCCCTTCCCCTCCCCCCTCCCATTCTGAAGACAGCCCTGGGGGCACAGACAACCAGAAGTTAATGAAAGTGCTCTGCTTTGGAGCACCTTTATCTGAATCCTCATTAAATGAGGGTTAATCTGTCCCACAATCAGGCACTTTTAAAGCATTCTGCAGCCATGCACTTCTGTCAGGGCCTGGATGTACAGCACTTTCAAGGGGCCAATTGTGCAACAAACATAACTTCTGTCTGTGCCCTAAGTGTCATCAGCAATCCCTCAATTGGAGAATGATCTCTACTGCAGCTCACTGATTGGAATTGAGGTGACTTAAGCGTTCAATCCTTGAACCAGCGATCCATCTGCAGGTGCAACATTAGTGATGAGTGTTTGTGTGTGTACACACATGCATTCACAGGTATGCATAACAGCTTTATGCTTTGATGTTATTAATGTTGCAAACTCAAGCACTCAGCCACTTTAGGCCATTAGAATTCTGGCTGACTGTAGAACCTTAATTCAGATCCCTTTTGTATGCCATTACAATTAGAGTTGCACTGATTGTTTTTGTGGAAACATTTTTCCTGTCAAAAAAGGCAATTTTGGAAACACTGAAACATTTCACAGGTTTTACTGAACTGCTCATGTAGCAAAAGTCAGAATGTTTTAACATTTTAAAGTGGGAACACTTTACTTTTTTCAGCTTGCACCTACCTTTTATTTAGAACTTTCCTCCAATTTTTTTTTTTAATTAAAGAGCTCTGCTGCAGAGTACAGTGCTTCATTCAGAATGAAACTCATTTTTTCTTCCACTTTTTAGAATTGCTGGTAAGCTGAAAGATCAGTTAATTGCATAGTTCTGATTATGACAGCGTCTCTAATTACATGCTCACACACTGTTTTCTCTATGGGACCCCTGCTTCATTCAATTCTCTCAGCCTTGCCTACAATAATAATATTTGAGGTGGCACATGCAAAACATGCATGCATACAGTTTTGCAGATGCATATTATTTCACACACTTTTCATGTAAAAGCATAGGTCGGTTCTGAAAACATGGCCTACGATGTTCCCGTCTATTGTCAAACTGCAGCTACTGCACAATCAAGAAGAGTGACATTTTAAATGATGCCTCCGTTCTCCTGTTTCACTCCCCCTCAGGGACTCCCATATCAAATTGGCTCACTTTACAAGTCAAAACAAGCTGTTTCTAACTTGCCTGGTGTGTGAAAATCAGGTTGTTTTCTTTCTGCTTTGTGTATTACTGCCAGATATAAAGAGCCCAGATTCTGAAGGTAATTGGCAATTTTCTTGACAAGACACAAGGTAAAATAGAAACAAGCTTGCTCCTCAACTGCTTTATTAAAACAAGAACAGCAGCTATAATTGTTATCTGTCATTTAAATAACTGGAAGCTATGGGTGAGGTCCAGAGAAGAGATTTAGGTAGGACTTAAGTGAAATTTAAACACCTATGTCCAAAAAAGTAGTCCAGAAGAACCAGTAGAATAACTAAAGGGGGTGACTGGGGAAGCCATCGTGCTGCTGACTCAGCTTCCCCCAGAGCCACCTTCACCCAGGAGGCAGAACTGCCCAGCTTCACCAATGAGAAGAACCCCGCCTGAGGGGGCTGCAAAACCCATTAGGTCAGTGAAGTCATTTGGCACCTACATTTTGGACTGTACATTTCCCTACGTGCCTAACCTTAGACTCTTGACACTGAGCAACTGAACAGCTAAGCCTAGCTCCCACTTAAGTAACACTGAGAGCCTACCACAAGGCAGAGCAGTCCTTCGACTCTTCCAAATTCATGAGGCAAGGTCTGAGAATGCTCATTGCATATCAACAGCATTGAGTCAGGCACAAGCTGCGAGGGCCATGAGCATTTCCATTCCAAAATATGGTTGGTGTAGGAGCACGAGATGATGCTGCCACCTACCCTCCATGTAATAGCCTAGTGGTAAGAGCACTCACCAAATAAGTGGAAGACCTAGGTTATAGGCCTTCCTCACATCTAGGTGATTCAAACATCTAACAATGAGGCTCCAAAATAGCTTGGGTGGAGTCAGCCTCCACCATTTCCACTGAAGCTGTATCCCTGGGAAGCCAATAAAGGAAGAACCATAAGGCCAGGGAGAGAAAGCAATAGGGAGCCTGCATGTGTAGTTTAGTAGTTAGGACACTCGTCTCGGAGGTGAGGTCCCTCTTCTCAGGACTGTGAATGCCTGCTGCATCAAACAGTCACTGAAGAACATCAGAAATAAGCCTGAGAGTAAGATCACAGCTGAGTACTCAAACCACTAAGTGATAGAGGCATGCTCCCTTTTGCTTGCTTTCCTTCTGGCTCCATACATCCTGCATTGTGGGCTTCCTAGTGGCTCATCTTCAAGGCAATGAGGGTGACCCTCAAACTATAATAACCTGATGGTTAGGGTACTCCCCTGGAATGGGGGAGATGTGGCTTTGAATCCCCTCAGGATGAGGGGAGCCTAGAGCCCAGGTTTCTACCTTCCTTAGTGAGTAGTTTAACGATTTGGCACCATCTCTCTTCTCTTTAGAAGAGTGAATCCTGAGGACACCTACCCTCAAGGCTCCAGGCTCTGGACCCTCCATTATTTAAAAAGCAGGCATTGAGGATTTCCAAAATGGCCAGTGGAGGAGAACATATACAGCACTCTTGCAGAAGATGTCACATTAAACACCTTCTCCCACCAACTCTGGAGCACAGTTCTTGAGACACAATGATTAGTCCTTCTCAGGTCAGGACTGCTGTGCACAGCTCCTCACTCATGGGTGCAGCTAACAGGCAACATATAAAATGAAACATCTGTCTATTTACACTGATTTTAGCATTCCTATTACAAACCAGAGCTACTAAAACCCATCATGAGTAACAACTCACAATTGGTCTCCTCCACGTTATACGATGCAGTGTGTCTTCAGGGAGCAGTTGGGGGCCAATGGAACTGGCATGTGCTGGAAAGGTGCCATCTTCAAATAGCTGCCCTTTGCTCAGGTAGTAGCTTCTCAGGTGGTTGAAGTCCTGGTTGTTTAATTTCTTGAGGTTCTGTGGGCTCCCAGGCCTCTCCCTTGTCTGCCAGGTGCCCACTAGCTTGCGCTGTGGGCCAGGGGCTAGCATCATGTTCTTAATCCTGTGAAGGAGAAACAGTGTTGACTGCTATTAATTGCCAAATCTGAAATGCTGCCCTCCAAGCACCCAGGGAGAGGGAAGATTCTGTAGCAGCTACTGACAAGGTTGCAGGCAGCGAAGGTGACAACATCCTCATTAGCTGGAAATGCCCGGGGAAAAGAGAAGCAGTCAAATCCCAGCTGATTTATCTTTAAACCCATGATGCCATTGGTTTACATTCAATTTTAAGTCTTCTCTAGGGACAGGAAGGGCAAGTGATCTTGGAAACACTGAGCTAAGACTGAATAACCTAGGTAGCATAAGTGAGACTGGGGTGAGTCGGGGCAAGGGAATGTGCACAAGAAAGGGAAAGGAAAATTGTTCTTGGGAGGAAGGCAGGGAGGGGGAATAAAAAAGCCAAGATGATGACAGAGGCAAGGGTTTTGTTTTTTGTATTTCAATGATATTTTTTACTAGACCAACCATACAGTTGGGAGAGTTGTGAGCCAGACTTTGAAGCATAAAGTGCCCTTCCTCAGGTCTGCCCAGACAAGGGGAAAGGCACACTGTGCCCAAAAGCCTGTCTGACAACTCTCCCAACTATACATTTGGCCTGATAAAGGATATTACAAAAATAGAAACCTTGCTTCTTGCATATTTCCTGAATCATTCTGGCTACAACACTCCAACCCTGCTACAGCAAGGTGATCACAGGTAGTTGTAATGGTTCCCTAAGTCCTGTAGCTGTTGGTTTCTTTGCATGCAGGGCAGTGTTGTGGTTATTTACTTTCATTTTTGTTTGCTCACTGAAAATGTTTGAACCTTTGTTTGCTCAGGACACCCCCAGATGCACCTGCCTTTGCTACACCTGCCTGTGCTGAGACTGCTCACCAAGAGACACGCTTCCCTGGTAGCGTCTTTTCTCAGAGTCTGTTCCAAAACGCATTGACAGACATGGACAGATTCTCATTAACTTGTATGGAAATTTGGATCGTGTTCTCAAATAACCAGCATGGAGTGAATAGACTGGGCTGCAGAATTTGGACATAGATCCAAATCTGCATTTGACAAATATTTCTAAGAAACTGACCCTAGAAAAAGTTTGTACAGATGTAACCAACTTGATGGAAGAAAACTGGTTGTGGACAGTTAGTTAGAAACAAGGTTTCTGAGTAGCTGTATGGTCAAGCTGGCTCCCTGCTACATCCCTCTTCTTTAACGTATTTGTTAATACAGTTAATCTATTCCTAAACATTGACTACAGCTCCTTGACTGAACTCAGGAATAACATTACTTACTCCAAAACCAGGGGCATTTAGATTCTGTGATTCAATCTCTGACTTGACTCAACTGTGACGTGTAGATCCATACCTGGATTTTGCAACCTGCTACCCAAATCTGGGGACATTCCTTTGAGTGAGTTGCTTGGGTCCAGAACAACCAGGAAAGTCTTTGCTCATGTAGAAAATATCCAAAGAGCAACTCTCTGTGGGGAATAGCTCCTACTCGCACTGCAGTGTGACATTTCCTTTGTTGCAGTAACATGAATGATGCTTACAAAGGGCAAACCCTGTCACCATAGAGAGGAATTTTGCCCACTTCTGGACGTGCACAGCAGTGGCACAGCACTGAGCAAGTTGCTAACAGTGAAGAGTTCAAGGAGTAATAGCTCTAGCACTGGACCCCTTCCCTGTTACGTTTGACAAAGAACACAGTAGACCATGTTTCAAAAGTGAGGAAGAGGGATTTGAGAAAAGCCTCAGAAGATAAGTTGTCTGGTTGTGAATCCATAGGTAAACATGGATCCTTCATTGGTTCTTGCTCGATTCTCCAACCCTGTTCCTCACTATACTTGCAGATGAGGGGAGATAAATCAGGATTTGTAGACTCCCATATGCTCGAGCCATAATGTAATTTGTTCCCATCTATGCTATTCGTTGTAAAAACAGCATTTACAGATCTTTGTTTTCACTGATCCCATGTCTTTTTCAAAGTCACAGGCATGCACACAGGTGCACCCGCAAGCACGCTGGAGTCTGATGCAAACCCACGAATACTCCATTACTTGGGGACTCTTCATTATTTAAAGAGCAGTCAGTTAGAATATACAAAATGAGAGAGGAGCATAAAAGAATGCTAAAACTCTGGTTCTTCATGGGACCTCAAGGGTTTTGCCATCCCAGATTACTGAGACAGATTTTTAGCCTCAGTGTAGTTTTGGTTTCACCTAAGCTGTGCCACTCTTCTCTAAAAGGTGCTAACATCCCTCTGAGTCCTCTCAGAAAAATGCATCCAACCTTGCCTCTAAATCCATTCCTGTCATCTACATTATGAATTAACCACATTTTGTTTTCATACTCATCACTTTGAGCAGAGAAACTATTGATTTTTAAGGCCAGAAGGGATCACTGATCTCCTCCTGCATGAAAGACCACAGGACTTTGACCAGTCATTCCTGCATCCAGTCCACAGCTACTCTTTGAGCTACTGAATCTCTCATTTGGCAAACTGCAGCAGATAGAGAATCCATGTCCCTAGGTAAGTTGCTCTAATGCTTAATTATATTCACTATGTTTCATTTCAAGAATGAATATTCCTAGTTTCAGCTTCCAACCAGTGGATCTTATTATTCCCCTTTTGACAAATGAAAGTGCCTTCTACTTATCATCCACAGGGGTTCAAGGAGCTCCCATCATTTTCTGAATGAGGGGCTGACACTGAAATGAGCGCTTGCCTCCTGATTGTCTGTGTGTCAACATGTACATTGAAGACATTACTTAAACTTATTAAAACTGCAGTTAAAACTTCCTTGTTCTGTATAAGGGTAACACCCTGTTTGATTGTTAAAGTCACTTGGCCTTATGCCATGTCTCTTAGGACCTGTAATAGTAGCCTTGGAAAGACAAGGCTTGTCATGTCTTATTTTAATTAAAGGAGGCAATTTTGGGTAAAAGGAATCAGATGAAATTCAGAAATCACCCTCAGCCAACATGAAAAAAGAACATTCCCTTTGGGCTTGCATTTTTTAATACAATAGAAATAAATCTTACGTAATGTACCATAACATGACAAGGGAATGGTTTCTCCTTAACAAATACTCATTTGAAACTGTGCCTGAGCCCCTTGCATGCAAAGATCTATTTCCTGCAACAGTGTTCCAGCAAAACTGATTACTAATTCCACAACTCAAATTAAAACTAACAGAGCTTGAAGGCTGGGGCTGACACTCTCTCTCTCTCTCTCTCTCCTGACGGAGAACAACAAGAGTTTTTAGCGCGTGCGTGTGTGTTTAATTACACTGTTTAACACATCAGGAATAATTTAGCAACCAGAGTGAAGAAAACAATGCACTTAGCTACCTTCCCCCTGCAGAATAACTTCATCAGCTTTGCAGACATACTACCGATGTAAACTATGCCGCTTACAGAGAACTACATAACTTAGATTGATTCCGCCTCGAGCTTTTTGAAAGTTTGTACTTAGCCAATAAGCATGCACATGTACAGGCATGCAAGCTCTTGCTCTGTGTGGCTGAAATTCACCCTTGCTCACAGAGTCTATACAGACCCTTGTGCTGTATTACTTTCACTTACATATCTATTGCTCTCACTTATATATCTATTGCAGTTAATCATGCAGTTCCGCTTGAATTCCATGGTACGGGAACATGCACTCACCTCCTGAGTCACTATTGCCCTGACCTCCCAGGGGCAGGTATCTACACCTTTGCAGAGCAGGCACCAACTATTGCCTTTCTGACTTGTTACCACCTTACAATCCCTGTACATGGACTTGAGTCACTTAAAGTGACTGTGCTGGTTGTGGTGTCACAGTGAATTGAATACTAAGGGTTTTAGTGTGATTTGAGTGGTGCATTGTCCTTGTGCTAGCCCTTGCATAAGGAAGTTTTATTCCACAAGTGCTAGGAAGAGCCCTTCTGACTGAATCTTTTCTTTTGGAGGGGGCAATGTATAACACTGGTGAGATTTTGAAACACCAACTGACATGGACAGCAAGACATTGTTTCCCTCTTTGTCATACGGGAAAGATGCTATTACTCAGAAGGGCTTAGACATACATTTTCTCAGAGTTTCTTTAAGCTGTTACCACAACCCAAGTTAAAAATAGAATTATAACTAACTTTTTATTTGGTACCTTTTAGCTTTCCCTGCTTGTTTCTCTCACCTCCTCTTTAATTTTCCCACTGTTTCCCCTCCTGCTAGCAAAAGATTGCACAATGTCATTCTTTCTAATTATTGCAATGGACCACCTTTGGAAAGTTGTCCATGACTCAACTGGAAGTAGGAGACAAAGGAGACTGGGACTGGGATAAGAAGTCAGGATGGGAGAAGGGGAAATCAATATCGGCACAACTGGAGAGGACAAGAAAGAATGGGTCAAGCTTTGGGGAAATAGAAAGAGAAACAGGCTCACTCCTACACACTCCCATCAGAAAATCCTGGTGGAGAACCCAGGACTGGCATGCGAACCCAAGACTGCCAAGACTACCTGATGTTCACTGAACCACTGCAAAACCCATTGACAAGAGTGTGCATTTCATCCAGCTCCAGCCCTGACCCACATGAAAGGCAACCAGCTAGTATTGTTATGAGTTACTCGGTGATGTCAGGTAGTGCTGGTTATCTGCACATGGTGAAGGCGAGGCTTTTCGTGTAATATTATACACATCAATATTCAGTAGCCTTTTCTGCCATTGTCCGTTGAGTCATAAGTAGAAATAAGCCAATGAAGAACATGTTTGTGTTTCATATCTTTGAGAATGTTTTTCTTTTCAGTCTTCTCAAATCATTTCCAACAAATGTTGGCCCAGCCAACTTCTGTATCTTGGGGGAGGAGGTTAGACACTGCAATTTAACCTCACACATTATTAAAATTCCAGAGAACCAACACTGCCAAATCCTCTATGCAGCTTCACATTTAACCTTGACTAAGGCATGCACTACTTGCTGTGGTAGTGTAAGTCCTTTTTCTCTTGGTGAGCCTGTCAGGCAAGGATCTCGAAGCACTTTATCAACATCAATGAATTACCTTCACCATGCTCCTATGAGATAGTGAAGCATACAGATTTCTTCTTTTAAAAAAAGAAAAAGAGCCAGGGATTTTTTAAAAGTAATTTGCCCAAGGTGACACAGCAAA